AGCTATTCGTCTCTCCATGTGCAGAAGAAAGAAGAGTGATGAAAATTGAAGGAGCTTGGAATCAGTTAGTACAAGGACTAATTGGAACATATAATCATCAGTCTCCACAACTCTAAAACCAGGAGAACTAGATGGTGCCTAGATACCACTACCAATTGCTCTGAAAGGGATCACATTAGAAGGGTCCAGGTAGAGCGGCAGAATGTGTGGAACAAAACTCAAAATTATTAAAAAAAAAAAAGACTGGGCTTACAGGTCAGAAAGAGATGGGAGGAACCTGAGACTATGTTTTTAGACCTTTCAGGTCTAGAAACGAACTCACCCTCGTGGCCCAACTTTTAGCCAAGCAGTAGACAGGTACATAGTGGGAACACCACCACTAATAAGGTATGCTTACTATGAAGGATGGAATGGCCAATCCTTCAAAATCAAAGGGGCAGCATGTACTTAAGGACAAAGGTGAGAAGAGATGGGAAGGTGGATGGAATGGAAATAGCCACAGAGTGGAAGTGGGATAACTGTTGTTCCCTGTCGGGGGGCCTGCAATCACGGAAATGAAACAAAGTGCATTATTGATTGAATTATCCTCAGACTGTGGAACAGACCATCAACTGCTCATATGCAAATGCAGGCTGAAGCTGAAGCAAATTAATGCATGAACACGAGAGCCCAATTACGAGTAGGAGAAAATGTGGGAAAAAACCCCAAAATTTATTAAAAAAAAAAAAAAGGGGGGTTATTGATTAGAAAGACACTGGAGGAACCTGAGAAAATGGCCCTACACCACCCTTCAGGTCTAGCAAGGAACTCACCCTTGTGGCCCCATTTTCGGCCAAGCAGTAGATAGGCTTATAGTGGGAGGTGGACAACAGTAGCCAGGTTCACACACCACAGAATGGTCAGTCACTGAAAATCAAAAGGGCAACATATTTCTAAGGGCAAAGTTGGGAAGGGATGGGAAGGTGGGTGGAATGGAAATAAGAAGATAACTTGTTGTAGGGAGGGGATTGTCAATACAGAGATGAGACATAATATATGATTTGTTGAATGTAAAGCTCATGTTCTATAAGCTTTTACTATTCAATTCACAATAAAAAGTAAAAAGAAAAAAAAAAAAAAAGCAGGCTTTTTCACTGGAACTCTAGACCTCAAAGCTACTTTCTTTGGTGGTGGTGGTAGTGTGCCGTGGAGTCGGTTTCATAGTGACCCTGTATAGGGTTTCTGAGGCTGTAAATCTTTACCAGAGCAGAAAGCCTCATTGTTCTCCGATGAATGGCTGGTAGTTTCAAACTGCCGACCTTGAGGTTAGCAGCCCGACTCGTAACACCACTATGCTACCAGAGCGCCTTCAAAGTTACTTTGGTGGGTCAGTAATTACCACGCCACTCCATCACCCGGTGAATATATTTATTGAAAAATTGAAAACACAGATGCAATGTATTATACAAAGAAAGATCTTAATACCATCGTAAAAGTATTACTGGAAAGAAACAAAAACCAGTGGCCACCTGCCCTGGGAAGGTAGGCACTCAGTGAAAAAGGAGAATTCATTTATAGGAAAGATTCTAATGGAAAACTGGGGAAAAGGTTAAAAATGGAACCAACCCCATCCCATCCCTGCAAACCTACACGTGAAAGAACTGTTCTAAGTTTGAGACCACAAGGTTATTACCAAGATCTAGCGAAACCGCCTCAGTTTGTCCCTGTGAGTAGTAATCAGTGTAGGGCCTTCAAACCTGAGGTAGTTGAGAGGCACCTGAAAGACATGTCGGGAAATCTCTACTTTCAGAGTTGGACCCCACTGCACCTGCCCAGTTGTTCCCATTGCTTTGGCTCCTGGGGTTCAAAGGCAGTACCACCACTGGGGGCCGTTGATCCTTCATCTACCAGAGACCTGGGAGATGAAGGAACTGAGTGAGTGGCAAACAGCTGGCAGGTTTGCTGTGCTTATGGCTGACAGGCCCGTGGTGGCGGCGGCGGTCTTCTATGCTACAGGTAGTCTGGACATAGAGGGCAAAGCTATCTGGCTGGAAGGCCAAATTCGACTGAAGACTTCCATTGGCAGGAAGCGTTTTCAGGGATTTGGAAAGATGGTCAAAGATAGCAAGAGAGTTTTGCCAGTTATTAAAAATGGGGTCGAGGGAGCCAACAGACCCCTCTTGATGAAGGAGCTGACCAAGAACTGAGAATGTTCCTGGTGCCAGCTCAGAGCCACCTCTTCCTCAGGGGTGAGAGGCCAAAGCTGAGTAAACCTGACCAAGGTGACATGCCTTTGTGATCCCTGTTACCAGTAGAAACCTTGGTATCTGAAATAATTCCGATGTTTGGTTCTTCTAGCACTGGGTTAAGGGGAAGTGCTCTGGGTAGCTGACTCGGTAACCATTCTAACAGTTCCAGTCTAATTTAAACTCCTTGTTCATCTGCCTTATTGAAGCAGATATTAGGTAGGTGTCTCCTAATAGTTTCCTTATTATATACACGTATCTTTCCTCTAGAGGTATTTGAGCACTGCATTGCAAAATTAAATAACAGATGAAGGTATAGCTCAACCTCTTGTCATAAGCCAGCCTTGTGTTGTCCTGTTCGCCTTATGGCGTGTCTTCTCACCTATGAGACTGTTCAAGTTTAGTTACTAATGATATGCCAACGGGATGAAAACGTTGTGAGGTTCATTTTTAGCCTTCAGATGTGATTTCCCAGTTTAATCACAACACGCTCATTAAGGGTAATCCAGGCAGGGCAGCTGATTTTGGGCTGGAGAATGGACTAGCTTTCTCTCTTGAGCTATTATGAACCCAACTATTATATGAGATCTGACCGGCATCACCTCGTGTGACAAGCTCTGCTCGTGCTTTCTTAACTGAAGTCCACGAAGGCTTTAGATTTGGTCGTGGCTTCTTTGTAGTGGGACTGTTAACATAGCACGGAATACTAATCTGATCTAATAGACTAGATTTCTCCTTTGGACAGGTTATTTAAAACACAACCGTTTGAAAGACCAGGACTCAAGATTTGAGGATTTAGCCACCGTTGGAAATGTGAACCCACACTGACAAATGTAATTGGCACACATGGGCCAGAGGTGCTACACGCTGCCCTTCGGAGCTTCGGAACGGAGCAATGCTCAGCATACCAAACGCTGCTTCCTCAGTGTGTGCTGTTGCCTCCGTAGCCCCGAATGCAGGTCACACTTCAGGTGACCATAGTTTTGAGTTTCTGGGAGACTGCATTCATTTCTTGGGGGAAGTCGGACTGGAATAGGAAGATGGGGTTTGTTTCACAGTGAATGACCAAGAGTCTCACAACCTAGCATGTAGCAAAACTTCACGTGTTCCTTGGGGACAGGCCCTGGGAAGTACTGCTTGTTGGCTACCTATGAATTGCTACAGTTACGTAGGAAGACGTGGTTTTTCCGAGGTTGAAAGGTCACTTAATGTGGGGGTGGGTGGGTTAGGGGCAGGGGTTCCACTAGGAGCCAGAGAAATGCTGCCCGTCTGCCTACCTCTAGGAGGCTGTTCATGTGCCCTGTTCTCATCCTGCCAACCAAACAGCGAGAGCTGGACCTTGTGCTGAGGGGCGTCTGAACCAGTACTTCCCCATCCTCTTTGCCCCTTTCTTCAGTGCTCTGAGGAAGCTGCCTGCTTAGGGGCCCAGGTGCTAACAGTTCCGAGGTGGCACTGTGGCCTGACTGCCCATTCTGGAGGCTGATGTACCAGGGCAACAGTACGAACATGGCCACAGTCGCTACTGAAGTCCTGATTGCTCACAAGCCGTGTGCTGCTTAGTGGGATTAGTAATGAAGTAGTAAAGGTTCCAAACTAAACAGGGCTCTTTCCTGATGGGAGCCAGTTTGCCTCATCTTCTGGGACTGTTAATTAGGTGGAACGCAGACCTTTCTTCTTCAGATTGAAGAGGATGGCAAGGCAGACATTGGGAGGAGGAGTTGGAAATCCCTGACACGCTGCCTCTTATAGGGCCCTGGCTGAGTGTGACAGGAGGGGGCGCGAGTAACTGCTACTCTTACCACTTGTAGCATCTGGCAGTATTTTAGCCTGGCCACAAGGAATGCCTACCAAAGGTGTCTCTGGAGACCCAGGCCATGTGTACCCCGTTGTCTTTCTGTAACCCTCCCTCACTTGTGAAGGTAGACAGACGCTCTGGGCTGGGGTCCAGCTTGAGGACGAAAAGGCATTCGCTTTGCTTCTGCCTTCTGCCCAGAGCTGTCCACCCGAGCCTGGGGGGAGGGGGGGGTGGCCTTGGCTGACCCTCTCTCCCTCGGCAGCGTGGTGGCAGATGTGGAGCACCAAGGCAAAGTCCGAGCAGCACCACCACTGGGAACTGCCGTGGTATGGGGCCCCTGGACACTGCGCTCCAGGGGGTGCTTGTACTGGGGAGAGCTGGCTATATGGATGCAGCCTTTGCAAATAAAACCAAGAAAAACAACAACAAAAATCCCAACCAGTCACCATAAGAAGCAGTGGAAGTCCATGGAACTGCCCAAAGAGGGGGAGAGTTGCCTTGGCCTTCTCAGCCAGGACACTCCCGCAGCGCAGTCCTGCTTCAGTGCACATATTCAGGGTTGTGTCTTGGTTTGGAATCCACCAGCTCTCTGATGCTCACAAATTTGTGCAAATGATGAAACTGAAACAACTGGGAAGAAAACCAAAGAGAAAATGCATGAGGTCTTCCCTTTCCAAGTTGTCAGTGGGGAACCCTACGAAGGTCACAGGTTCGTGGGCACAGAAAGGCAGGCAGGACTGGGATGGTGGCCTAGGATCCGCCTTCTTGGTCCTGCTCATGGGCAGCAGAGGTTGAGTGGGTTCAAAGTACAAAGAGTGTCATTATGGAGACATGGTCTTAGGAAGGGTCATTCAAGACCTCAGCAGACCCTCCGGTCACTGCCACTAGAACTCCAAGGACTTAGTCTGTAGTTGGGGGACAGCAAACACATAGGTGGGCTCCAAGAACTTACACTCTGACACACGGGCGCTGGGTTGGCTCTATTCTTTCTCGGCGACCGCTTCTTGCAGTGGCGGGGGTGACACTTCTGTTCCTAAAAGTCAATAATTAGGCCTCAGAACGCTTCCTGCTTGTAGTGCATTCATTCAACTAACCAAAAACTGCCACCATGTTGGGGTCTACAAATATACTGTTACCACAACATGGTGGTCATCATCCTTCCCCCGAGTCCAGTGTCTAAGAGTGACTGGGGTGGTTCCCAGAGTCCATCAAGCTCAACAAGAGTTGACCACCTCCGTTGTGACCGAGTTAGCCAACCAGGGCATGTTGTGAGAATGGCATACACAGAGGTGTGTTGGTGGGCCAGACATTATTCTCTCTCAGTTCTTGACATTGCTGATCTCCTAGCGCTGTTGCCCATCCCTGGTGCTCATGGTCTGAGCCTTATAATCCACCGCTCCTGTACACAACTCTCCACTGACCACTTCATTCAGTGTACTCTCTATTGGCCAAGAACTGCACTCACAGGTTGTAAACCAGGCTAACCGGGCCATGAGTGGATTGGAGGTGAGTGATGAGACTCTACCGGTCAATGTTCAGTTCCCAGAACAATGCTTTTAACTCCTCAGTTTACCCCAGGTTTTGACTTAAACACAACTGAAGAGAAAGCCCACTGTAAGTAGAGATGGGGAAGTCATTATCCAATAGACTCCTTATTCTGTCAAAGTAGAAGAGCGCCCTTGTCACGTGACTCCTTCCTTCAGACAGCTCACCTTCTTCCCAGCCTTCCGCAACACCGGCCAGTTCATAATGCTTTTTTCGGAGCTCTCCCAGTTTTTGACGCTCCTTCTGCAATTTCGTTTCTAGCTCCAGCACCCTAACCTGTGGGGAGAGCAAACGGAAGTTTATTTGGATCAGCTGAGAACTTAATTTGGCCTTCATCCCTTTTCCTCCATGTTTGCTTTCTTTCATACCATTCCCCTGGTTTCCACAGCTTAGCCAGTTCTCAATTTCAACGCTCTTCTCTGCGTTGACTGCTCTACTCTAACATTCAGCTTTCCTCCCAGTAGCACTTAGGTTTTCTCGCTGTGACTCTCTACTAGAAATGGATGATGCTTTGCAAACCCGATACCTAGCTGGGACAAGAGTCAGCTTGTGACAGATCGCATTCCCAAAACAACACAGACATTTAATCCAATCCAGTTGGACCCTTTCTCCTTCAATCTCAGTTCTCTAGAACTCCAGGTAGGGCCCAAATCTGATGGCTTTGGTTTCTCTGAAGTGTTACTGCAACTTGAGCCCTTATTGCTACAGGAAAAGGCATTGTTATTGTTAAGTGCCATCAAGTCGGTTCCGACCCATAACAACCCTGTATAGGGTTTCTGAGTCTGTAAATCTTTTATGGGAGCAGAAAGCCTCATCTTTCTCCCGTGGAGCAGCTGGTAGTTTCGAACTGCTGACCTTGCGGTTCACAGCCTGATTCGTAACCACTACGCTACCAGAGGTCCTTAGGAAAAGGCATGGACAGCTGTAATATTTCTACTGTTGTTACTCAAGGAAAGGTTGGTTCTTGGTTAGCTCTTGAATTTATTAATTCAGGATTTATTTGAGTAATTCAGGTCCCATTATGTAGGAGTCCTGGTGTGATGCTGCAAGTTAATGCAATGGACTACAAAGTTGGTTTGATCTGTAAATGGTGGCAGTTCAAGCTTACCAGTCACTCCTTGGAAATGCTATACAGGCTCTATCAGAGGTATGAGGCACCGAGTGGTGAACAGATACGATCCCTTTGTTGTTGTTGTTAGGTGCCATCAAGTTGGTACCAACTCATAGTGACCCTATCACAACAGAAAAAAATACTTCCCAATCCTGGGCCAACCTCACAATGGCTGCTATGTTTGGGCCCACAGCTGCTGCCATTGTGCCAATCTCACTGGGGGGTCTTCCTCTTTTTCTCCGACCTTCTAGTTTACCAAACATGATATCTTTTTCCAGGGACTGGTCCTTCCTGACATGTCCAAAGTATGAAAGATGAAGTCTGGCCATCCTGGCTTCCAAGGAGCACTCTGGCAGTACTTCTTCTAACACAGATCTGTTGGTTCTTTATGCTTTGCCTGGGAAATAAGTATAAATCTCATTTTATGCTGTATTTTATATCTTAGTTGTGTTTGAAAACGGTTTGATTTTTGGAACGTACATTAAAAATAAATAACGGCATTTGTTGTATGCGTGGTCATCTGGAGTCCTCTAGTCCAGTCACCGGGGCCAAGTCACTTCCTCAGCCACTTCTAGATGCTCCTCCTGCTTCCCGTGGAGTTGAGAAGGCAGCAGCAGGCTGACAACACTGGGGGCTTGGAGCAGACTGGGACAGGGAGACTCCTGAGGGATGAGCTGGCTCGTTGGCTTTTCTAGCCCAAATGTTTCTTGGAATGGAAGCTTCTTGGTCCGGAGTGGCAGCCTTTCACCTTCTTCCTCAGGGAGCCTAGCTGTGTCTTCCTGGCCTTCTGGGTCACCGTCTGGCTGGCTTCTGTCTCTTCCCAGAGTCTGGTGTGCTGTGTCCTCCTCACTGTCCATCAGAGACAGTTATCGGTCTCTCTCAGGTCCTTTCTGGTGAACAGCTCGGGTCTGCCCTGCTGTTGTCACTCTGGGAACCTCCATCACTGGATGTAGGCTCCCAGACGTCTCTTTTCCGGCCAGGCAGCTCCACATTTGTCTGATCTTCCTGCTGCCTCCGCTTCCTATTTAACAAGCAAACGAGGAGGACGTACTGGCAGTCCTTGTACTGATGCAGTGCCTTCTGGAAGCGGTGGCCCCGGGTGTGCCTGAGGATGTGCTCCGGACACTTATTGATGTGTCCTAGGGTGAGTTTACAGAAGAGCTGGTGCAGGCTCTTGGTGCTCGGCATGATGTGCGGTTCAAACTTGGTGTAGTCAAAGGTGGGCGCTGTGTGCACCAGCCATTGGTATTTGTGGCTACGGATGTAGAGCTGGAGCGCTGGCAAGAGGCAAGGCAGCTCGTGGCTCGTCAGGGAGCATGTCACCCTGGTGCTGCCAGGATGGAGCTCCAGGGCTAGGTGCTGGCATGGGAAGATGTGAAGGTCGGCGGGTAGCTTGCCCGTACTCGGTTGCCTGGCGCCCTGGAAATAGATATGTCTGGGTCCCGAATCAGTCCATGGTACTTTTAAATTTTCTCCTTCAACACCATAACTCAAATGCATCAATTCTTCTACGGTCTTCCTTACTCATTGTCCAACTTTCGCATGCATATGAGGCTATTGAAAACACCATGGCTTGGGTCA